GATTTTGAAACCTCACATTATCTGATGCCCGTGTTACGCATCCCAAGTGAGTGAACTAACATGTTCGTTGACGCCTACGTGAACCAAGTTCGAGGATACGATCAAACAAGTGGCATTCCACAGCAGACTAACCACCGGCCAATCACATCGCCGTAAGGAGTCAATTATAGCACAAATAGTGAAGTCACCCGCGCGGCAACTTCAAAATTGAAGAGCTCAAGCATATTTCCACCAATCATGTTGATTTTTTTGTAAAAAATATTCGTTGTACGCAGTAGTGCTTGTAGTAGACAGGACGTTGGTGGGTTCTGGTGTACACTGAGTTCCAAATTATCGATCCTCCCTCTACAGACTAGCAGAAAGTCCACTTCCGACCGGGTGGTCAGAGAACATGACTCGCGTGCGTGCGTGCCTGTCAAAATGTCATTCGTGTGTGAGTGTGTGTGACGTTGTGGGTGTCATTTTTCCTTTGCAACTTCTCCAGACAAACGTGGCGTGGTTTGACGACTTTGGAAACACAAATTAGCCTACAATTCTGCCAAGGCAGTGGTGCAGGTAGAAAAGTTCAGCAACTCCCATTTTAAGGGCAGTAACTAGTCCGCCTTCATGACAGTGTGAAGTTATTCTGGTTGTCCACGGGTGTTTCGGCCTCGCTTTCTCGATCCAAGGGGTCATTCGACGAGCTAATGCGTGTCTGATTAGTCATGATTTTAGTGGATATTCATGTGGGATGCGTCAGTGTACAATACACCACCCTAGTGATTTCGGTAGGCAGTCAAGTCTTGTATTCTTGTATTCAAGACTTGTGGAACGTTGCTTGAGGCAAAATTAAACCAAGTAATTCTAAATACTCACTGGAGAGCTTGATAACGACTGATTTGCATACGAACAACCACACTGAAAAAACCAGACTCATTCCTATAATTTCGTGCGTTTGAAGGAGACAATTAACTGAGCAAGGTATACCACGCAGCGAAACATTGCTTAAAGATGTAGAATAGCTTGACCGTGGGTCCAGGAATGGATTAGTCACAGAAAAATATCGTTAACACGGTTGCCCCAAATCGCACTTTTGGTCATGAAGTGAACTGTACATAACTTATCCTTAATATGTCATTATTCATCGATTCATTGGCTTCAACGCGACCTTGTGTACCAAAATGTCAAGTAATGCCCCATGGAAGTCAGATCAGGAAAGACAGTTTGGTTTACAAAATCGACATTCCCAACACCCCGTTTAAGATTTTGAAGTCCAATCGTGGTGCCAAGGGCTCATCAATTGTTAAAAAATTGTTGTGTTAAGGCTAAGAAGACGCAGGATTGTAAAGGTGTCAATTTCGACTGTATTGACGCAATCTTTTCCAACCATGGACTAGAAAAAGACTATTTGGGCTGTTTTGAACCTCCACGTAGATTCGAACCAATGAGAAGGCTGGAGCAATCTACACAGGATCTTCATCCTAACAGGGTGGTGATTTGCATGTGGTGTCGAAGTGAGGGGGTCCCCCAACCAACATGGATTGTTTTTCTTAGAATCCGACACACGGTTTGTCCAATTATGCCGTTAGGACAAGGCCATTCAACGCGCCATCGATTACAAGGGATTCCGCAGTTTGACAGCGTCCGACCAATCACTGCATAGCTCACCAAGACAGCCATCCTAGAACTTGCATCCAAGCCAAATGACATTCAGTCACCGACTTGACAACTTCCCTGAGAATAAACCGATGTAGACTTTGATTTTGATGTCCCGTTTGTTGTTTTAATCAACCAACGCGAGTGGCCTAGCGACGAAGTCAGCACCTCGCGGTATCTCGTCTGGACCAAGCAAGCTGCAGACGACCACTGACGAAGTGTTCGCGTGGAAATCACGAATGCATAATTAACGTGGGCGTCCTGCTGACAGGTGGAAGGGGGAACAAGGCTTGCCTGTGGGGGGGGGGGTTGCAGACGGCTAGACATTTACATTTTCACGCGCGTGACTCATCGCCACTGTGTGGTTATCATGTGTAAACACTGTGATTGGGGGGGGGGACCAGGGGAGGTAGTGGTGTTAGCAGGAGCCCCAAACACAGGTGTATCCGATTGGAGTAGCGCTTGTTTGCTCCCCAAAGGGGGTTTACTGGCTCCGCCGCCTTTATTAATAATAACGAATAAATCACCGTGTTGTGGCGCTAGTAAGTATAAAAGATTGCAGCTTTTCGTTGACAAGCGCATTAAAATAGTTGATTTATTGAAAAAATTAATTTTTTTTGCACAAATTCCTGCGCGTATTTTGCCCCAAATTCAGATTCTGCTTGCATTCGCCTCGTCATCGCAGCCCAGAATGGCAGCGAAATGACGCTGGTTTAGGGTATATCTTGATTTTCACATGAAACTAATTCGTCCAATGTATATAATAATTCGAACTTTTTAACAAAAAACCACGTTTTTCGAACTTATTTAGTTAATCTATGCAAAATAAAAACGCAATCTTTACGCAGATTAGCTGATTTTTTTGCGTTTATGTGGAAGGTAATATACTAGTAGCTATCTGCTGTTCGTGTGTGACATCTTAGCCAAAATTGGTATTGAAATGAATTTAACATGACCTTGAGTTGACTCCTGGGGTTTTACCTGATTTCGTGGCAATTTTGACCAATCCGATGACGATTTGACGATCGAAATTTTCGCGTGCCTGTTGGCGCAAACTAGGTTGAAGCCGAGCAAAGAATTTAAAATGAAAAAACATAACCAATTAGCATTTGTGATTCAAATAATTGAAGAACATGCGAATTTCTGAGGCTTTGCAGTGCCATATACCACGTGTAAATTCAGCCAATCGAAATGCGTGAAGCGAAGCGGAAATAAGTTGATCACGACAAATGCAGAAATTGTGTTAGGAGAAGGGAATTGAGAAAACCAACCGTTTGAATTCATTAAGGTGGTGTCGATTGGTGGATTAGATAGAGGTGTTTTAAATCACCAATACGATTCAGGCACACTTTATTGGCTACTGTTTCAATGAGGATTAGAAATTTCCGCTGAACTGAAAGTAGGCGAGAAACATCGTACGTCTGTACGTCTGTGCTATTTTTTTAGAGACCGTTACAAGCCATTCCGAGATTTTCCTCAATTTGCACGGAAAATAACACAAAAAAAACAATAAGAACTGCTTCGAGATTGATACAAGAGTCAAAAATTAGAAAATTAGAACCAAAACAGGCGTAATTTGCTGCAAATCTTTATCCGCACCTGTCAAAACGCCTACTTTGCCGATGCAGTGGAAACCGAACAGGTTGCACTTTTGCCAGGGTGTAACCGGGGAAGGGGATTCACGTTCGGGCAAAATGTTTCCGCTTATTAAGCGCACATTTTAAACACCGGCTTATCCGCCGCCATTGGCTCATCCAAATTCCCGACCCAGAAATCAACTCCTCTTTTGCAAACTAGACGGCATTGTTGAATCGTTTGTGGTCAACAGTAATCAGAAGAGGGTGTTTGTAATTAAAATTGGTGCAACTCATCGTTTACCGGAAATAAACTGCGTTTTCCCAACTTGGGATAAGTGTTTCGCGCGGATGCTAAAGTCTAAGATTGCGTTTTGCCTAAAAAAGTGTGGGTAGTGGCAGTATTTAAGTGGTTTTTCACATTTACTCACCAACATTTAATCTTTTTAGGCACTGCAAAAGGAACGAAAACTGTTTCTACCAAACGATGTCATTCGTTGAGCCAAATTACTTGCAATGGCAATAATCATACTGCTGTCAAACAATGACACTAACAGGAAAATAGACAAGAGGTGTACAACGGACATAGGGCAATTTCAGAAAAAAAAGGACAAGTTATAAAATGGTCTGGTGATATGTGCGACGGTAATTTCATGGCTCCAAATCTAAATCATCTTGCTCGCTATCCTATTTATTTTATTGTTTTTCCGTAAAACTAACACGCATAGTTGAGTGAAGGTCGAAAACCGGACCTTCAAATGCCGCTCACAGATGGCGATTTAAACAAAGCAAACAATTTTTCGATAAGAGTGATTTGTTTCTGGATCAATTTTAAAAAAATAACACGAGTTTCAAAATCTTGCACTCTTTAGTGCACACGAAACATCACCGAAACGCGATGTGCTGACTGTGAAATCGATATTTATTGGTTTTTTGCTGATAGCTACACGCAGTAAATGTAGATGTTGTTTTTAGACTAACTTGGTAAATGGATTCCTGACAGGTTAGCGACCCTGACGCAACTACTCCTGTCAAGCGAATGTTTCAGCTTGCAAATTGACACACCCTCGTTCCGACATAGTAAACCATTTGATGTAGCCGCTTCCACACAGCCCTCCTGATTGGTCAACTTTGTGTGTACCGTGTGGTAAAGGTGTACTTCACGAGTGTCCACACCAACTGTGCTGGCTTCACTGTTAAGTTGATTCTGATTAGTCGAAAAGTCTGCGAAGCAGCCACGAGCAGGGATTATGGTTGTTCGTCGTCAGAGGTTTTGTAACACGTGGAATGTTTTCAATTTCAGACTTGAAGGGTACAGAGTAACATAACGTCGCCCCCTACATCATTGATGAACCAATGAGAGAACTAGGCCGGCAGTTACTCAGATACATCAATTAGACGAGTCATCTGATAACCTGGGTGTCGAAATTAGTAACCAGAAAAGGTGGTGTGGACACAATGCACACCCCACAGCCCTTGTCATCGAACCACGCATCGGTGAAACACTAGACAAGTGGAATTCTCACCACCTTTTCACACGCAAGCTAGACTCTAAGGTGTCCTGGCACTACGCAGTGAGAACACTGACAAGCTAGGTGCGATTACTAAAGCCTTTCGTGAGACGCTTACAGCTTGACAACATCAAGGCTCCGGACACTAAACCTCGACCAATCTGAAGACCGGAATGGTTTTGTGTAGTCTTTGGGCCACTGAAAGCACGCGAAAACTCATTAAACAAACGCTGGAGTGCTGTGAAACTTATGAACAGCGCCATTTTAAATGTCAGAGTTTTCACACAAAACCGAATGAAAGGAAACGGCGAAGCCTGAAGGCCGTGTAGCCGTAGACACGATCTGGCGTCCCGGGTCGTGAGGTGAGAGAACAGGGTGGTGGAATTAGGGTGTTCACGATGGGATCCACAAGCTGCCCTAGTCATGCCACCTGGGGTCACGCCATCAATCAAATTACTCTCTTCCATTTCAAAGTGGCGATATGTGGGTAACACACCAATCCGATGTATCTCCGTTACTTTAAATCCGTTTCACCAGCTCTTGTCAAAGTAAATGCGTTTTTGTTCGAACAAATTCCCATCTCTACAATCTCAAATAGCATCAGGAAAGCATTCAGTCACGAGGAACACATTGCGGCGTTCCCTTTCCTACAAAGTTTGGTGAGTTGTCGTGCGATCGATTCAGCAACATGATCTTCCATTTCGGTGATTGCAAAAGACCGATTGTCGTCGAAGACAGAATCATGCTCTATTGACTACGCTCGGGATTAATTTATAACCAAATTATTGTTGTCCGACGGCATGGCTATTACCAGAACAGCATTTTCACTCTTATTGCAAGTAATGTGGCTCAACGAATGACATCGTTAGATAAAAACGTTTTTCGTGAGAGCTGAAACTGCACCAAATCGTGCATTTAAGCCATGGTTTCGTTGATTGCAAAGTGGTAACTCCAGTCGAAGCAACACACTCAGCTTTTTTAACATCGTCCCCCTGTTAATGACTTTACCCATTATTTTGTGTCAAACGATAATCCACGGATAATCACTGAAAAGAGGTCACCTTGCGACTGCGTTTTGCCCTTTAAATCAGCATGGAAGCACTTCAAATATCGATATCCGGGTTCTTCAGCGAAGTAAAACGTGTTTCCAGAGCAATTTACTGCCTCGCTCATCAAAAAAATTAATATCATTTCAAGTGATTTCGAGAGAAGAGGATTCCTCGGTTTTTTTGTACACACTTCTATTTTCGCCCCTGACTATTTTAATCATATTGCATTCAGTCGATGCAATTACCGCTTTAGGTGTACTTAATTTCATTGGGTTATCACATAATATACTTCCTTTGTTGGTGATTGGTTTGCCCAAACGACTCACACACGTCGCTCATTGGTCACGAATTAATTGTTCCCATTCGATTGGTTGATCTCAATTCACGTCCAAAGTATTGATTTTTTCATGCAGATTAAGGTACGCATATAATTAAATCGCGCACAAAGTCCCTTAGGCAATTCGATTCAACCCAGGCTAGTTCAGATACTGCCATGAGATTTGACAAAGATATTGGTCCGTTTTTAGCGAAACTAGTTATCAGGGTGGTGGAATAAGCCTCCGTGCAGTGTAGAACTGGCGAATGGCATGCTTTTGTCACGGTGCTGTGACTAATCAGATTATCTGAGAAACGGCCTGTTTATGAGACCGCAAAAGGGGTCCACCGAATAAGCAATGGTGTCAAAAAACGGTCTCAAAGATACTTGAGGGCCAATTTATTCTCAATCCTCGTCATAATTGATGCTCACACTTGAGCCGCACACACGCACACACGACGCGCGGAAGTGAATCAGCCCTCAAAACTTGGCCGCAACGATAGCCAAGATGTCTGCGGTCGTCGTCTTAATCACATACACTCTCACAAATGGCGTTCCGCTCTTTATGTTAGAGGGCTAGAGGTTGTCCTCACGTCCAGAAATGATAAAATGTTGGAAGGAGCATAAAACCACCAACACGACCACGTCATGCCAACACGCACACGATAACTTATCATCAGACCCCTCTTAGCATGACCTATTTCGGGTCAATGGTCCATTAAAACTTCGTATTCCGGTGTTACCAAGCAACCGGAGTTTCGTGGACGAAGTCGTTCCTGCTTGATTACTTCAAATTGTCAAATAGGTTAAATTAAAAAAAATGCGTTTGAGCTTCGATGAAACACGTGATTTCGACACAAAGAAATAGCCAAATTGGAAATGCCTTTTTAGGAGGCCACTCAAGGTCATTCACCCTGACAAAACAACGACAAGGCAGATCACGTTACACTTCTGATTTGAGAAACACCACATCGAATTTTTTGTTTGTCTGAGTGTCAGAAGGAGCAAATTTAAGGAACGGTGCATTTAAAAGGGGGAATCGCAAGTCGTGTTGTAGTGAAATCGGTTTTAAATGCTACGGAGAACACATTTTGCCATTCCCGTAAGCTAACTGTTTACAAAATTGCAAGTTTCCTTTGAAATGCCATTTGACCATATTTCTTATCTTACACGGCTGGACATTTCTGAATTTCCACAACTCGTCACGTCTCGGATAGCATAAGTTCACACATTCAAACAAGACTACGACAAGTGAAAAGCAGGAAAAGCAACCATGTTCGATTTTTTGGAGGTTCCGTTTTGCTTAAATTAAATCCCTAATCCCGAAATGATGTAATACCAATCGATAGACCTGATACTTCGATCGAGTTTCTTTGTATTCATTTAATCGATGCAAGGTACTCGTGGCTCTCTTGACTCTTGCTGCAACTGATTTAAAGGACGTGTCTGTAATGTCCACAATAAACTATCTAGCAGAACCGCAGTAAGAATTCTATGAACATGAAACTCAAAAAAATATGCATTTTCGATCTCCCGGTTCAACAGAATTGTCGCTAATTGCGTTGCACACAAAGTAGATTTTTTTGACACCGAATCCCAAACTAGATATCGCTGTCTAGGCATCTTTATGAGGGCGTGCAACAGTCCAGTGAAGTACGCCTGCTTGGTAAATTATCTTGCGCGCTATCATGTTCACTTTATTGTTATTCGCAAAACTAACACGCATAGTTGAATGAATTTCGAAAAACGGGCCTTCAAATTCTGCCCACAGATGGTGGTTTAAACAAATCAAGCAATTTTTCGATAAGAGTGATTTGTTTTTATCTAAATTAAAAGAAAAACCAAGTTTCATAATCTTGCACTCTCCAGTGCACACGAAACATCACCGGAAAGTGATGTACTGACTAACTGTGAAATCGATATTTATTGGTTTTTTGCTGATAGCTACACGCAGTACATTTACCATCGTGTGTCAAGATCTCGGAAAACCAACAAGCAAGTATCGAAATGTGAAAGCAATCATTTGGGCAGTAAACGTTCTTTTTGAAGTTACATATCAAGTTCCTGTGCTCAGGCGTCAAGGCAGATTCCAACCAATGACAAGCGTAGATGGGCAAGCAGGCAACGCCACGAGTCAAGCTAGACTGCCATGTACACAAGACTACGACTTGCGTGCAGTGGGACCCCCTAGACAGCCAATCAGCGCCGTTGCTGCTCCCTCTAATTACTCCACATCGCACAGATCGGTTCGAATTTAAAACAATAACTGGCAACTTTTATGCAGTCGTTTAGATGAACAAGAGGAAGAAGAGGACTACACAAAAAAACACCCTAACTCACAGAGTTAGGGTAATTTAGCCAATAAATCATTAACAAGATTTTTAATAGCTCTAGAAGGTTAGTGCAGGGTTTTTCTGGCAAAAGTAGCGTCTTTAAGACTCCCTGGGTGGCAGCGATATTTACCGTCTAGTGATTTAAAATGTCAACACGGCATTTTGATTGGGCCAGGCAAATTAGACTAGACCCCCGCGTGCACCCATTAAGGCGTATTCAACGGGCCGCCGTAATTGCCAATAGTGATGATTTTGCGCGGTCTTAGTTTATTTTGGCTAAAAGAAACGTGCAGAGAATGCCAGAGGCAGAATTTAATGTGGCCTGATTACGTTGCACCTGCGAGTCGTTTGAACCACACGACCTTGCAGCACAGCGGGATTTAGTCCAGATAAACAAGAAGTAAGCCATTTAAATAAGGTATTTGGGGATATTTCATGTGCGGGAGTCGGTCCCAAATATGAGCAGATAGGCTCGGCTCAGCTCGCCTCCAACTGCACTCAAGACATGACCGCCATTTTTTGAAGGAACTCGATTTGGTGTAGGGTGTTTGGTCAGACAGACGAGAACCAATCAACTACTCGAATTTGTGACAGCTACCAATAATGCTCCGATATTGGAGTTATTGGTTTCACTCTACTCCCAATTATCATCTAACACAAGATTAGGTCAAATTACCTATCGAGCCCATTTCTGCTTAGACGTCACTGCATTCTGCCAAGGCAGATGAACACGTCGAGTGACCTCGATTGTTCAAACACACGAGGCGTCAGCATCTAGTCTTGCTAACATGGCCCTTGTTCTTCAAATACCAAGACTTATCGCCTGTGAAGGCAGGCAATGTCAAGAGGGATTGTTCGAGGTTGGCACGTTGGATGACT